AGGCATTGAGGTTGAATCCTAAAGGATGAAAAGAGCTGTCTAGGCCGATGGAATGCCATGTTCAATGGCACAGGGAGGAAAAAGCATGATGTACCCGGGTAACTAATAGGTGTCTCAAGAGACAAGGCTACTGAGTGTGGAGCGGGACACTGAGGTGGAACAGAGATGAGTGAGGTTGTACAGTAAGCAGGTCAAGTCATGCAGGGTCTTAGAAACCACAGCACGGAGTCTTGTTGTTGTTTGGCATGCCGTGCACATCTGAACAGATGCCTTTCTGCTTGGTGGGATTGGATCAAGGTGAAGGAGATTGGAAACAGGGACACTTGCTTGCTACTGATCCAAAACCACTGAAAAACATGGGTAGCTTGGACTAGGGCAAAACCCTGTGGAGCATCTATAATAACCCATGCTCAGTCCACACCCCAAATTGTTTAATACAATTTCTGAAGGTAGAGTCTAAGCCTTCACATATTTATTTATTTATTTATTTTTATTGATTATGGTCTCACATAATTGTCCTTATTCCCCCATTCCCATCCCAAACCCCTCCCTAGATATGCCCCACCCCCACCCCCACCCCCCGTTGTCCACTGGCTAGGCCCATATGTATGCACACAAGTCCTTTGGTTGATCTCTTCCCCTTACCCCCATCCTCCCTTACTTTCCCTCTGAGGTTTGAGAGTCTGATCACTGGTTCTCTTTCTCTGGGTCTGTTTGTGTTGTTCATTATTTCCTCTAGATGTGTGAGATCATGTGATCCAAGAAATACCCTTGTAAGAACCTAAACTGCAACAAGCCATAATGGTTATGCTGAGAGGCAAATGAATCAGTCTGTAGTGAGTTCCTTTCTGGGCCAACAGTTCTTTTGCCCAGGACCAAACCAGAGATAGGCGGACCTGCATTACCACCATTTGTCCACCAATCAGATCTAAGCCTTCACATTTTTAAAGAGTATATCCTAAGGGTGAGGATCACTGATTGCCATTGACTGTGGAGAGCCATGCAGAGGTGGAAGAATGCATTGGAAAGGCAGCACGACTCACTGCTGAATCTTCCAGGACCACCCTCCTGGGGCAGGCTGAGCCCAGAACTGTTTGGGACACGTGTGAGTGTGCAGGGCAGCATGTGGACCTGTGACATGTGTCCAGTTCTGTTGGTGAAGGTCTCGCGATCATTCTGGCCCGTTGCCACTCTTTTCTCTTCCTGTTCTCTCCACTTTACAGAATTCATTCTTCATTGGCATCCACACCAGCAGATGGTCAGTGAAGTAGAAAGCAAATGCTACCCAAAAAAGTCCATGTGGTCACGTTTGGTAATTTGGGGCATGACTTGAGAGAGGGAGAAAATAGAAAATGAGGTTGTTGGGAAGAACACTGGCTGAAATAGAAGATTTGGGGTTTATCTCTAGATGCCAATTATCTGTACTTTATTACCATATTATGAGCTGACTGTGGTGTGTTGAAGTCCAAAACATGTAAAAAGGCAATTAGAGTTTTACAATGAAACTGAGTCATGAATTAGAAAGATATTACTGTGTACTGAAGCTCAGACACGTTTGACTTCCTCTTGATGGGTTATATTTGATATCTGCTGCTTAAATACATATGTATTATGTCTCTTTCATTACTGACTAATAGTCCTTCACTCTTTAGTATCATTTCCTTCCCACTTGTAAAAAACACATAATACTGAATGTGTGCAGGGAGTACCATTCTTTGAAACACTTAGAAATGAGCTTGACAGACAACACACATAAAACTAGGGTTTAGACTAGTGGTTGGACAACTGGAATTGGGAACACTTGTCTAATGGCCACACAGTGTTGTTTCTTCAGATATCACAGACCCCCAGAGTTGGAGGTTCCCATTCTGCTGTTCCACTTTATTTTAAGGGCAAGATAAGAGAGCCCCAGGGTCTCAGGGTAGAGCCAAGCCTGACACAGGGCAGGACTGTTTTCACCTTTTGACACTGCCACTTGGAACCCCCAACCCTGCACTGTACTTGGCATCCTTGCTGTTTCCAAAAGTTCATAGAGAATTCCAGTCCTCAGTCATGCTAGTGTCTCTTCTGCTCTCTAAGACCTCTCAGGGACATTTAAAGCAATTTACTAATATCTGTGGCTGAGAGTAAAGGTTTTATAATCATAAAATCAATGTACATACAAAAGAAAGTGAGACATCACAAGGCCTTTGGTTATCACTGGATTGACTTGTTTTATGCATGAATAGATCTGCAACTCAGCTACTAGTTGTGTTTTTCCCCCTTCTATTGATATTTATGCTCTACAGACTGGAATTCCATTATATTAAACTACTCCATCGTTGTCTTTTATGTGTGTGTGTATTTTAAAATTTTATTTTTATTGATTTCAGAGAGAGGAAGGGAGAAGAAGAAGAGGATAGAAATATCAATGATGAGAGAGAATCATTGATCAGTTGCCTCCTGCACACCCCCTACTGGGGATTGAGCCCACAACCCCAGGCATGTGCCTTGATAGGGAATTGAACCATGACCTCTTGGTTTGGGTTGATGCTCAACCCCTAAATCACACCCGGCTGGGCAAACTGCTCTATAGTTTTAGCAAAAGGAATGTGCTGAATCCATTATTCATTCTAAAACAAAATAGCAAAATAATGGCTTATGTATTAAGGTTTTGTTCTTGGGTATATTTAGTATTCATGGCCTGGACCGTATACTCCTTCTATGCTTTGCGTGCTACAGGGACAATAAATACTTTCCTGTCTAACTTTGGGTTCTCACCATGGAAACATCAGCGTAACAGCTGAGGTCTGTTAGATGTCTTTTCATTCTCTTGGCTGGCAAAAATCTTTAGAGGGAAACTTTTTTCTCTCTTTGGTAGACAACAAAACACTATTTTTTAATGAAAGCACTCCTCCAATTGGTCAGATATATGTCTTAACTGTTTCAGATCACTAATTGTACCCTTGGAAACCTAGAAACAGCCTTAAAGTTAACAGAAAATGTGAGTCACTGTGTGGCTGAGTTCAAACTCCAGTCTCAGCATCCTCTAACACAGAGCAATGCAGAGGAGCCCAAAGGGGCACTTTCTCTGTTGTAAATTTAACAAAATAGTTCTATGAAATATTTTTTTCATCTCATTATGCTTTTTCCCAAGCATTTCATAGAAATAAATGGGGCATTTAAAATGTCTTCATCTCATCTAAACCTACAGCAGAGCTTTTTACCTAGTTGCCACACACAGGTCATACCTGTGCCAAGACGGATTCCCTCAGGGCCACCAGCCCAGTCTCGGGTGACTGGGCCACTGGGCAGACCTCCTGGGGGCCACACACAACTTTGTCTTTTAGCGAGCTGTGCAAAGTGTGTTTTGTTGGCTGTGCTATGTGAGAGGAGGATCGAGAAGCAGAGTTCGGGAGGTTGTTGCTCAGAAGGAACAGTTTTGTTTTAAAGAGGAGAGACCTATTTGGTGGCAGGGTAGAGATCTGTGGGGTCTGGATAGACCGATATTCATAACACCTGCCAATTTCTAATCAATCTGAGGGAAGGTGGCCTCAGGCTCAAGCGGGCATAGTTTTCAACTGAAAAGTACCTGATTATCATCAACGACAAATTGGATAACTGGATTGTGGTATATTCATATAAGGGAATGCTGTGTAACAATGAGAATGAATGATCTTCAAGTGCACATAACCGTGTAGATGAATCTCAGAAATGTGACAATACACAAAAGAAGCTGGACACATAGGATTCCTCTTAGGTGGAGAAGAGAGGAGGCAAAGCTAACCTATGCTACTTGAAGTAGGGGAGGGAAGCAATTGGAAGGTAGCCTTGAAGGAGTGCTAGGTCTACAGAAGCATCTACTTTAGAAATTAGCGGGGGAAAGGAAAAAAGGAAAGTAGGGGAAGGACACTATGAGATTGCAGAAAGGTTAGTGGTGGGAGGAGTGGAGTGAGAGATTTGGGTGAATGGGGGCTTGTGGTCAGATTTCCTAGGCAGGCTAGTTCTGTGTCATGGTGAGGAGGACCAGTGTGTGAGGGGTTGAAGAGAAAAAAGGTGAAGGTCACTGGAGCTCAGGAGTCAATTCCTTTGTCAAGGCCGTTAGAAGCCCACATGGCCTCGGGTAGGTATTTCATGTAGACAACAGCACCCAGTAAATCAGGTGTTGACAAAATGTAGAGGCCGGAGGAAGGTAATGATTCAGTTATTAAAGTCTGTACTTGTTCAACTGCAAGGGCAAAACCCCCATTCAACTATTTAGAGCAAAAATGAGAATTTATCATCTATTAGTAAGGCCAGAATGGAACTTCACAAGTACTGGATCCAGGTTTAAAATTGCCATGGGGGCTGCTCTTCTCCCTCTCTCTCTCTCCAGCTCTGCTTTTCTCGGGTCGGCTTCACTCACAGGCAGCCTTCTTCCCCTAGAAATGATAAGTGGCTCCAGACTTAGACACCAGGAGAAACCCAGGGGTGATATGAATTGACTTCATCCCAATCTACCCTTGCAGTGGATCAGTCCTCCCTTCCTTCCGCTGCGAATCACATTCGCTGAGAATGAGGGAGTGGCATGCAAAAATCATATGTGCCCATGGAGGCGCCCCTGTGGGCTGACCCTCAGTGGTTTCTACCCAACAAAGGTGCAGTGAAAAGGTGAGGGCCCTGCTTGCTGCAGGAGCTGGGCCTCACCACGCACTCCCTGCATGGCTCCGTGTGGAGGAGGAAAACCACAGAAGAGTCCTGCCCAAGGCCAGAAGCTACTCTGAATCCCGATGGGGTGCAAGGCAGTGGCATCCAGCCAAATTGACAAAGAAATTTGGCTTGTGCTGGGTTATTGCATCTCCACCCCGCATTGAAATTTCCCCATCTCAGAACGCTCTTCCTTCTCCTCACAGATTGAATGTGCTCTTTTCATTTCAGCCAGCTGGAGTTATTTTGCTTCATCTTCCTGTTTGTCTGTAATGCTTATCTCACGTCTCCATCTTGTCTCTGTGTGCATTTCTCTTTTCCTGGCCTCTTCTCAGGGATGAGGAGGAGGAGGAAGAGGAGGAAGAGGAGCAGCCAGTCACGGAACCCAATTCAGAGGAAGAGAGAGAGGATGATGCCCCCTCTCAGGGCAAGGACAGGTACCAAGGGCTGGACCCTCCCAGGCCCCAACTAAAAGTCCAAGGCTCCCTCCTAATGAATGGTTTGCAGCCTCCTGTCAGTAGTCTCCTCCCTTCCTCACCAGCTCCCACCAGCAAACCTTTACTGACCCTATACACAGAGCCACAGAGCAATTAGTCTGTAGAAATCACAGTGCATGTTTTCATTACAGAACTTGAGTTTTTACTCCAATTCAGCCTTCCTAACCACGCTTCATGGAAAACTCACCCAATTGGTTTTCTTCCCACTGTTCCCTCCGTCATTAAGTCCTTTGGCTCAGTCAGATTGACAGAAAATTTTATCCCTTTCAGCACTGTACTAAAAATAATTATGTGCGTTTCCTTCTTCCTACTAATTTTAACCAGTACAACATTAGCTAAAATGTGTGGGTAACTCCTGTGTGAATGATGCAAGTTTGTTTTTTATCAAATTAGACAGGCACACTTTTTATCTACTAGAGTATGGGGGGAAAAATTTTTCAGTATTTATTTTTATGCCCAGCACAACTTACATGGATCTAGGATCCTTTGGAGAGTTTACTGTTCTCTGCTCATTTCTCCAAGGTGCATTCTTTTGTCTTTAGTCAGTGGTAACAGACATAGGCACCTTGCAGGTGTTTTTTTCCTCCACTTAATTGATTATACTGCAAATTGACACTTTTACTGTTAGTTTTTTCCAAAAAAGCAAAATTAAGAAGATCTTGGATGAATTAGGGTAAACTCATTCTCTTACTAACTTCAAAGCCAATGTGATTCTTTGCTGCTGTGGCCTCATTCTCCAGGTCACCAGCACAAATAAAAGTGCTCATATAGGCTCCTTTGACATCCTGAGATTCCCACCATTCCCATGGGTCATGGGATCCTCTCTGAACTGACAAACTAATGGTTGCTTCCCTTCTTTGGAAATAACTGGGAAGAAGCCAGGGATATGGAGAGAGGAATGGAATGGCCTGGTGACAGAGAGTGAGCCATACATTTCAGAATGCGAGGATGAGAAAGGTGGCATTGACCAGAGCTCCTAGTGCATGCCGAGAGGCCTGCTGGGCAATAGTGATTTTTTTAGGTACAGATGCTCTGGGAAGGGAGGAGGTTTAATTAACAGTCCTTCCTGAGGTGAAAAATTAGTTATAAAAACTATGTAGACCTTCAATAAATACACAGGTATGGCTCTCTATGTGCTGAAATGTGCATGTCCCTTCCCCTTTCTTCCCCCCCCCCCCCCCCCCCCCCCCCCCACACACACACCTTTCAACCCTCAGTGACTTACATAGTTCAGCTCCTATGGACCAGATGTAGGAATCTGGCCAGAATGGGTAGCTTTCAAAGGCATCCCTGCTGACATTGTGCTGTCTTTACATAGGATTGTTTGCACAGTAGGTGGTTGTTATCTAACCCTCTGAAGTGTTTTTGATGTCATGCCTGACACTGGAGGGTGTCCTTGATCAGACATTACAGTCAGGTGTTTCAGCTTCAGGAAATAAAGGTGTGCATATTGAACACCAGGGCTCCATGTAGACAGTACCAAGGTGTTAATTCACGTCAATCTGCATGCTATTTGTGCCCTGGTGTAAGCTTATTGGGCTTTACTGTGGTGGGAAGATCCTGCTTCTGTGGGTTTGGTGTCTTCTGCTGCCCACACCCCTCCTGCTGGCTGCTTCTTTGTGTGTGCCCACCATGCATACCTATCACGTGTTCTTGCTGTGTGTGCCCACCAAGCATACCCATCACGTGTGCCTGCTGTGTGTGCCCACCACATGTCAGGCCTGCACTGAGCACATCAGTGTGGTCTCACCCTCCCATCAGGCCAGGGAAACTGGCATGTCCCTGCCCTTATATGTAGATGGATCACAGAATTTGAGGTAGGAAAGAAAACAGCTCATATCCTATCCCCAAATGGGCATGGCTGGGGGTCAGATTCTCTGGGAGGGGGCCATAGCTTTGAAAACTGCAGAATTTAACACAAATTCTTAGAGTGGAGGAGGCCCTGGGAAAGTGTAAAATGGGCAAGATGTTGGCTCCTCACACTGACCCTCCTTCCTGCTCTTCGTGTTTCTTGCTGGCCCATCTCTTTCCCTTTGCTCTCATCCATACCTGCTCTCAAGAAAGGACGAAAGGAATGAGTAAAGTATGGGCTCTAGGATGTCACTTCCTCAAGGCTGGGCTTTTCAGGAAGAGGCCTGATACTCTGTTTGACCAAGACAAAGAAGTAAGGTTCAAGTTGTGGAGATTCAGGTGCCAACACAGCCAGTGGGGAGAAATGTGTGTGGAAGGGTGAAGCGCAGGTGCAGAAGAGCCTTTGGGGTTCCATTAAATGCCCTCCCATAGGCCTCTATGCCCATAGGCCTGGTGGGTCTTGCCTCCCAGATTGGCAAGTCTAGGACCCCAGGATTACTGGGCAAACCAGAGCGTCAGTGACGGGCTTTCCTGCTGCAGTTCCAGGGGTTCCGAACGCTGGACTCTGAATTAAGCGGCCATAGCAGTAGTGGGTTTTTACATGCTTTTTCCTCTTTGCTAACTTTTGCTCGCTCTCTCTCTCTCTCTCCTGAATCTCTTTTTTTCCCTTCCTTCCCTGCCTTCGATTCTTTTCCCTGTGGCACCAGCAGCCAGGCCGGCCCTGCCTCAGAGCAGAAGCACACTGGGCAGGAGAGCCCAACCCTCCCCCCTGCCTCCAGTGCCACCTCCATCTCCCAGGGAAAGCAGCTTCCAGCCAGCACTGCAGGGGGGAGCCCCTGGGGCAATGGGTCCTCTGGGCCTGCCCTGCTGCCCCACCCCACCCCTGCCTCTCGGACCTCCACACCTGGCCCCCCGAAGGCATCGCAGACCATAGCAAAGCTGCCCTATGTGCCCCACAGCCCCTTCCATCTCTTCTCCTATGACTTCGAGGATTCACCCTTATCCGCCAAGGACAAGGAACCCGAGGCCCAGAAGGAAAGCAGGTAGATGGGCCCGCGTGGAGGCCTGCGTGAGATTAACCCGGGGGTGGAAGCACAGCCTGTTAACCACATCGCCTGTCTTGTCTTCTGCTGTTTGTGTGGATTCGATTAGCACAGAGCACAGTTGTGGTGTGAACTAACTCCCTGACCACTCACTAAATACCTACCGGTAGTTAGGCATGATGCACAAGAAAATTGTCATCTGCTCAAATTAAGGGGCTTGTGTAATAAAACAATTACTAAAAATGGAATTTTTTCCACTTTCCTTTTTTAAAAATATATTTTTTTATTGATTTCAGAGAGGAAGGGAGAGGGGGAGAGAGAGAGAGAAACTTCAATGATGAGAATCATTGATCAGCTGCCTCCTGCATACCCTCCATTGGGGATCGAGACCGTAACCTTGGCATGCGCCCTGACCTAGAATCAAACCTGTGACCTTTGATTCTTGGGTCGATGCTCAACTGCTGAGCCACACCGGACTGGGCCGAAAATGGATTTTCAGTGTAAAGCTTGAAACTGTGCATGGTCTGACATAATCAATGCATCTGGCTTGGGTCCTTTTGACCTGCAGAATTCAGCCAAGTACTTTAGTGGGCTTCCCATGCGGCGCGTTGAGTGGGGTGCTCTTTCCTTTAGCAGTGGCTCTGATTCTCTCCTTCTGAGCGTGAATTCTGCCTCTGATCCTTACAACTTCCGGTCTTTCTCTTCTAATAGGTGGGTGTCTTTATTTCCTTTCTTTTTTCTATAGCTTTCTGTTTTTATTCTAAATATGCATTTTTTCTTTTGAAGATTACTCATAGCCTATGAGATGGCAAAGATTTGTAGTTGGAATCACTTCATGGACACTAATACAATGATATCACTTAAAGTATGAACACTTCAATAATTCTTATAAAAATTGGAGAGGAGGGTAGGGGGAGAAAGGTATGTAAATCAAGACTACACAGGGAATTTTCAGCAGTGCCTGTCAGCTTTCCTGTATGTTTGCCCTTCTCCAATGCCTGGATTGGAAAGGGCTGCAGAGCAGGGAATGGGGAACAGAGGGTTGTATATTTTGGGCAATCAGTTGTCCAAAATCAATTACTGCTAATGCTGGAGGCCGCTCCTATTTTAGAGTAATAATAATAATCATTGCTAACTTTTATTGAGCATTTATTAAGAGCCAGGTCCTGTACTTTCCATAAAATTGAAGCTTTAAAGAATCACTTAATCCTTAAGAAGTAGGTTCTATTGCTCGCCCTTACTTATAAAAGAGGAAACTGAGGCACAGAGAGGCTGGATAAGTGGAGAGTAGTTTCTACACCAGGCGGTCTGTCCCCTTGTCTCCTTTGTGGACTCAGGGACACAGAACTCCTAATCCCAGGCCTACCCTCACCATACCCTGCCTCCAGGAGTCTGTGGACTCCAGTTCAAACACCTCCCAACTACAAGTTCCCGACCAGTCTCTTCAGATTTAACAGTCTTGGATTATTGTCATCTTTCCCACAATGTTTATGGATTGCCTCCAACGTGGCTCGTATGCCCTCTGAGAACAGGATCTCTGTGCAAGTTAAGAGCTGTATGCTTCACTGGAATAAAAATATCTTGGCAACCGCATTTCCCCCAGCAGGGTGGTATTTGCTCAAGATGGCGATCCAGGACTTTCTGATGATGGTCTCACAGCCTCTGATGGATGGGGCTTTCCTGGGACCCAGGTTCCTCAAACTTGGTCTCCAAGCTTCACTACTACTTACAGCCCTTGGGGGAGGGAGCAGTAGAAACATACAAATTGCTGACACGATTATACATGGAAATTACGAAAAGCTGCCACATGTTTGTGAATGAGGACCGACTTAGATTGAATGGAGAAGAGTTTATAATCTTTAAATATTTGACAGGAATTTGAATGCTGTCTAAATATTGTTTGATCCCATTAATTTTCTGATGGTTTTCGTAGATAACTGCAATTAAATGGATTATACTGGAGACCAACCAGTTAGTCATTGAAAATTAGGAAAATAAAAGAAAACTGAATAGTGAACTGCAGGATCCAATTAGTTTCTCTGAAATGGAGAAGCAAAACTGGACAGGCTGTGAGGTATTTGAATGAATTGTTGGCCACTAGAAAGACCAAAGGGGGAGAGAAAGCATTTTGCTTGCCTTATTTCCATAGCATCATTTTAACGTAATTTCAGTAAAGCAATCCTGTTAGAACAGTCCCCCCCCCCCCCCCCCCCCCCATGTCCACATTTGGCTGGAAGGGACTTGTTTTAGTTGCAGAGAATAACCAGCGGGGAGTCTAGGCAGCTGGTACCCAAGGTGAAGCCTGAGCCCAGGGACCAGCTCCCCAAGGACTCAGCTCAGGGGGAGCAGCAGCCTCCTTCCCTCCACCTCTCACCGTTTGCTGCCTCCTCCCCTCCCTCCCTCTTCTTTGCTCCTAAGCTTTTCTCTTCCTTCTCTGCATCTTCCTTTCTTTGTACATTCTTCTCATCCTTTGCTCTGTGCCTGTGACTTGGTTTTTTCAAGAACTATCTTCTTGAAAAATCAAATAAAACAGAAAAATCAAATCAACACTCATGGAAGCAGTGAAACATGTTAGAGTGTTGGGTTTTTTAAGAGAAGAGAAAATAAACGCCAGAAACCAAGTCCTGTGAAGGTGGTGTGTGCAATGAGCAGACGATGGAATATGCTGTGGATCTGGGTCCCCGAAAGGCCTGGTTCCGAGCACAGGCCTTGCATGTGGTACCAAATAATTAAGTGAGAGAAACAGCCAGCAAACAAGACTTAACACAGGATAGATTTGGGGAAATGGAAATACTTCATTTCTCATTATAATAGTGTAATTTATTAAGAAAAACTGACATTTTATCTCTTAAACTTTTTAAAATAGATGATCTGTTTTTTTATACTTTTTTTCTACACAAAGATGTGATCAAACTTAATGTATATTATATCTTGATGTTTTAATTCAGCCCACATATATCGATATATGTAGATATAAACTTCCATATATATATATATATATATAGACATTTCCCATGTTATCACTTATAAAATTGGCAATAACTTCTAATGGTTGCATAATATTCCATTAATGAGTAATACTCTTTCTTACCTGTTCTTGCATTGTTAGCTAATTGGGTAGTTTCCAGTTTTCACTATGATCTCCATAATGTTTCCTACTTGATATTTTCTGTACATAAATAACCATAAGGGTGATGATAACTCCCCAAAAGTGGACTTACTCTGTCAAAGGACATCTACATATTGAGGTCTAATTGCTTTCCAGAATGGCTAGAACTGATTTCTGTCAGCAGGAGTTTGGGCTGGATTCAGCTTATGTAGGAAGGTCTTTGTGCACTTATATCATAGTGACCCTTGAGGTTCCAAGTAGCCAAATACAAATGACTCTTGAGGTTCCATATCCCCAAATACAAGATCACTAACTGGTTCAGGGGAAGGAGTGGCTGAGTAGTTTGGGAGGCAAAGTTCTCTGAATCCTGTTATTTGTAATTAATCATGAGTGTCTAGCCCAGGCAAGGGCTTCAACTACTAGCTTGTGTTCTGGGAATTCACGGAGTGAAGATGGCTAAAGGGCATCTATTCTGAAAAAACAAAGAAAACTCTAGAATTCTTCAAGTCCTGGAATTTATAAAAGATGGTTGTGAAATGATGAAAGTTTGTTTAAACCTAGTGTCTGGGATATTATTCCTGGGGAAATATCGAATGAAAAAATAGACACTTGCACTTTTTAGCAACAAGCTAATCCTCAAGGCCCCGGGACATCTTATTCTTCGTCACCAGCCACATGATGAGATTATATATAATGAATGAAATTGATTCAGAAATACCTAAAGCAGAATTTTTCACAAAATGTTTCTTTAGCCAATCATCTGGCATTTGTCTACCAGATAATTGGCTAAAGAATGGATTTAATGCTAATTGTACCACCAGGAGAGGCAAGAAAACTCTTCATGATTCAAATGAAAATAATTTGGACTCTAATTTATGTTAGCAAATAGTTTGACTGTACACGAGTGCCTTATTAAACCCTTTCTCAGAATCCTGCTGCTTAATGGGTTTGGACTTTGAGAATGTCTCTAATGAGCAACAAACAAAACAAAACAGTTAGTGATTTTTTATTTATTTATTTATTTATTTATTTATTTATTTTTTGCATTAGTGCCATCACTGACAGTTTCCAGACCTGTTTCTCTTGGAAAATTTAAGATAATTTGCTATTCCTTATTTACTGACTGGTACACATTTCTCCTGTCTCCCCTTGCTCCCGACTTAATCCTCTGCACTCTTTAGATACAACAACTTTGGCAACCATTCTTACCACCCTTCAAGACCTTCTTCTGGATCCACTGTGCCCACTGCTTCCACATCATCTCTTCCAACCCCCCAGGATCCCAGGCTGGACAGGTAGGTCTTATCTTATAGGGAGCATTCTGATGGCTTCACTGTCCTCATGTACAGGGGATCCATTTGATGAAGAGTGCCTAATGGAAAAGTGTCAATGAAAGTATAATCTAGAGTATTTTTCTTTCTAGAATATATCCCAGAGTCAAGGCTGTTTTCTTTTACACTTTTTAGTCAGTAAATATTTTGTTAGAGATATTTTTATTATTATCTCATCTCCCTACCCACTTTCCATGGAAAGAAAGAACTATTTTTCCAAAGCATTTAAATGTAAATGATTTGATTCACCACTCAAAAGCTGTTCTAGATCGAGCATAAACTCTGCAATTTGTCTTACACACATCAATTTTCATCTCTGAATGATTAATTCTGTGTTAGTCAGTACTGGGACCATTAAGGTGTTGTGTAATTAATCCAGACCTACCAGAAGAGAAAAGAATTATATGGGTTCAGGGCAGGAATTTAACTTGGCAGGAGTATTAGACCACCAGAAATTACCTTGCACTTACTCCTGATTGCACAAGGATGTGTTCATAGGGAAGGGAAGGTAGGTCCTGTAATTTTAGAACAGTTGAAAACAGTTATCCTTATATGGCAAGATTGCCGAGGTAGAGAACACTGGCTAGGGCCCCAACTCACTGGGAAGTTCCTGCACCCTAAGGGTAAAATACCAATTCTGCCAACCCTTACCTTAGAGGGTGGTTTTGATGAACAGATGGAAGGTACATGTGAAAGTTCTCTGTGTACTCCCCCGACCCCCTATGTGAGTCCCGTGAGAAGTGACAAGGTGTGATGATGGAATATAATGTCCAGCAGCTTATGATTGGTCAGAAATCTAGACATGAATGATGCCCCGGGGGTCATTTGCTGCAAGTCCTAAATCTGAAACACATTCAATCTGTGTACTTCATTTTGGTCCTCTCCTGTGTGTTGGAGAGTGTGTTTGACCAAGTGCAGCTGGTAACGAGAGATTTGATCAGGATGTGGAGCAGGCACGTCCTCACAGTCCCAGGAAGAAGGGCTGTCCAATGTAGTTTGCCCTGCCACCCCTCAGCATTAATTTCTAAGATGCTATGTAAGCCCCATGGTGTCAAACCCTCAGGTTCCGCAGCTCAGTGTGGCCCTGGCCTGGGCATATTCAGGCTCAGTTAGGTTTTGGTAATGAGGTCACAAGGTGATTACCCTGAAGACACCCTCTGTCCTTTACCCTGGGACACCTCCTCTTAGGGTCAGCTGAGCTTGCCTGTGCTCCCAGAGAGGTTACTAATAAAGAAGATCCTTATCCTGTGGGATGAAGGATTTGGGGCCAATGTGAGGAATATGAGAGTCTGACCCCTCTTACAGGAGACATCTCACGCCTACGAGGCTCCCAGCTCTTTGGGAGTGGGCAGCAGGCTCCATTCTGTGCTGTGTCCCCCACAGTACCCAACTCTGGCCACGGCAAAGTGGCAGCCAGTGTTGGGTCATTGGGTGAATTGCCTACTCATTGGTTTGAGAACTGTTTGGAGGCCCTTAAAGGTGAGAAGTTATAAGGACAGGAGACCTGTGAGTTCCTGAAGTCCTGGGCTTAGGGGAAGTTCCTCCATGATCCCAATGGTGAAGTCCCGGTCTCTACCCTCTTTCTGACTCCTAGAGACCTAGGACAGGGTTAAGCTGGAAGGCTCAGGGGTGAATGCTCCTGAAGGACTGTGTTTCCTTCCCTTCTTGATCTGTTTGAGTGTCTCCTGGGGGAGAAATTGGAGGAGGAAGAGTAGGGCTGGATCCAGGAGCACCTTGATTGCTCTGGGGAGGAGGTTGGTCTCTATCCTGAGGCCACAGGGCTGTTCAGATTTGGAAGCAGCTGGCGATGTCCTCTTACACATCAATGAATGGCACCTAGAGGGCCAAGGCTGCCTCCAACTCCAAGAGAGATGACCATGCCCAAGAAGGCCAGTGACCCAGGGGATTGCGGGAGAAGTCCCGAGTTTGGGCAGAGTTGGCTGCCACAAGGAGGGTGGGAGCAGGGGAAGTGAAAGGAGTGAGGGGTCAAGCTTGCATGTGCGTATGAAAAGAAAGGAACTAAGAAGATCCTAGAGGAAGAGCAGATGGAGGGTGGAGATGTCCAACTTGGGACATGCAAGGTATGAGGCATCTATGACAGCCGGGGAGATGTGGGCTCTGCGGTCCTCAGCATGAAGAAGGCGCTGGATGAAATCCCTCTGGGAGCCTGTATGCCGAGACCTGGTCCCAGGGAACAGCAAGAGCCCCTTCCCAGGGGCCTGTTCCCTCTCACAGGGCATTTCTGCACAGGAAATTCAGCACCTTTGCCATCCATTGGATTCACCAGTGGCTAAAGTAGCTTCAGAGGGTCTATTGCTTCTTTCCATTTGCATATGGATTCAACTCTCACCATCTGTGGCTTTGAAAAACCCTATAATGAATCATTTGAAACATTGGATGTGCATTTTCATTATTAAGACCATGGAACACATCAGATCTGGCTGCATCATCTCTTCTTACTCTCACCTTGCTGCCTTATGTTTTGTGATTGTAACAAAACAAAAAATAAAAATAAAAAATAAGAGGAGTCCTCAACTCCAAATCATATTTGTGCCCCATCGCCCAAGCATGTGAGGTCAGGTGCATTTATGATAATGTGTGTTTTGTATAGTTTAATGTTTTCTGTTTGACAACTGAATTCTTTGCATGTCACCCATAATCTATTTTCACCTCTGTGAGAATTTTTGCCTTATGGAGCTCTATGATTGTTTTGACTGAGCTATGTTCTTCAGTGAAATGTGTAAGACTTATTGTTGAAATGCTTCACATATCCATATTTTATTGAAATAAAAAAGAAAAACTTTTTTCTTAGGAAAGACATTGAACTCTTACGAACAATAGTTGCATTTTTGCAATGAGAACCCACAACTGACAGCACACCCCTGACTACGAGCGTATGCCAGGGCAGAACTCAGGACATTAGGACTTCATTCCCTTGACTTGGAAAGAAGGCTCTCTTCTCAGAAGTCCTGGGAAAACCAGGCCAACTAAAGCAGCCCTTGGGGCCGGCCGGCCGCCTTGGACATGACTCCTAAGCATCAATCTGCACTTTAAGTTTCCCAGAGTCTCCCCAGGCATGTCAGTGAGTTGGATGTTAATAAAACGTGGAATGATAAATTGACCCAGAAAGGAAGGAACTGAAGGAACAGTATACAAAACCAAGTCAAAACAAGGGAATCAAAACCAGTCCATCTCCACATCTGCTATCACAGCTTCGTGTAACGGGCTCTCTTTTAGAAAGAGACAGTAAGGCATTAATTTTCATGACATCGGAATTTGAATTGTACCAAAACAAAAGAGAAAAACCAGATTATTTGCAAAGGCCCTCAGGGATACAAGATGCAACTGTGTAATGAAAGCCGACTTTTAAAATGCTTCAATTTTGAGGGGGGGAAAAAAGTACTTTTTTAGTGGAAAAGCTCTAAATGTTTTCTTGTTAAAGGGAAACGTAATTACAGGAATAGTTGAACCATTCATGGTCAAATATTCAAATGAAACAAGCAAGCAAGCAAGCAAACAGTAATCACAGCATATGAATTTGTGGTTCCTGGAAGTTGGGAAAGGCAGATGGCATTCTCTTCCCATTCCTGTGGGGACATCTCCATCTTGTGGTCCTTTGCAGAAATTGGTGGCTGGGATAAAGAGCCGGAGAAGGTATAGGGAAGTTGAGACCACGAAGCAAAGACTAGGAGTGGCAGGGCCCCTATGGTGCCTAGTGCTGGCTGCTTCTTCCAGCTCAACTCCACGTCATGGGACCTCACTCCCTGTGACCTGCTTCCACACTGGTGTGGTCACTCCTCCCTCAGAATGATGATGTCTATGTCTATGTCTTTCTATCTCTTTTCAGGGATGTTAGCACATGTAGTTCTTACTTGTGTGGCAGGACTGCTGACGATAGCCCTGATTGAATTTGCTGCTGCCTATATCTTCTTCATTCCGACTTCCTCCTCCATGTGACTGTCTGTTCTGTGTGTGCTTTGTTTTCCCCTTCTAATCAACTTTGGCTTTTATCACTTCTTCCTCCACCAGTATCTCCCTTGCCTTGAGGTTCTACTTGTTGGGTTTTCAGATCATTGCGTTTTTCAAATATATGACCCATGTGTTTGTCTGGATCCCAAATACTTGCTGGCTGTGGTTCATCACTTGATCTACACAGTACTTTTTATTTATTTATTTTTAATATATTTTTTATTGACTTCAGAGAAGAAGGGAGAGGGAGGGAGAGATATAGCGAAAGATCAGTGATAAGAGAGAATCATTGATCCAGCTGCCTCCTGCATGACCCCACTGGGAATCAAACTTGCTATTCATCCATATGCCCTGACAGAACTGAACCGTGACTTCCTGGTTCATTGGTTGACACTCAACCACTGAGTCATGTTGGCTGGGCCACACAGTACTTTCAAAATTCCATGTCAGAGGCGTCAAGAGCCCCACTGTCCAATGGGCTGTAGGTAAACTTTTTCTTTTCAATTGATCGAAGTATATGTAAAAAACATCACAAGATGCAACTGTGTAATGAAAGCCGACTTAAAATGCTTCAATTTTGAGAGAAAAAAAAGTACTTTTTTAGTGGAAAAGCTCTAAATGTTTTCTTGTTAAAGGGAAACGTAATTACAGGAATAGTTGAACCATTCATGGTCAAATATTCAAATGAAACAAGCAATGAGAAAAGGCAAGGAAGATGGGATAAAATCATGCCTTTTTCTGTGATCACGGTTAATGGTACTCAGCTCACTACTGCCAGCAGGAAATAAAGGCTATCAACGTGGATCGTTCTCGTTCCTTACATTCAAACAAAGAAGCCACGAGCTTGTGCTGTGCCGCATAGCAAGCAGACCCTCCCCCCCACGCCCCCTTGGCGGCCGCTACTCCTGATAGCAATCTCGTTACAGACAAGGAGTTCCTGTAAGGCACAATGTGGTCCTGATTAATTGATTGTGTTACATCCAAAGTGCAGAGGAGAAGCACCGGTCAGTTGACAGAGTGAGTTTACAATAGGGTCTGGCTCCCTCGTGGCAGTTTTATGTAACAATTGTGGGCGTTGGGAACCCGGGCTCTGGCTCAGCCCTCTGCCTGTGGGGAGACGCTGGGCGCCTAACAGATGCTGGAGATTCTTCCTCCCACGTGCATTTTGAATCTGACTCCTCATGGTTCCTACGACCACAGATTTAGTTCCAGATCTACGTCATGCCCAGACTCTATATTGCAGTGGAGTGTGTCTTCTATCCTTTCTGAAATGCACATCCGAGCAGTTGACTTTTCCTGCTTAGAAACCTTGATGACTCCAATTGCCTATGGACACAGCCCAGCTGGTTACCATTGCCTGGAGGATGCCTCATGTTTGGGTCCTGTATGCATCTTCCAGCTTTTCCCCCATCATCCCCGTCCTTTAGCCCCACCCCCACCTCCCGCAAATGTCCCATGAACATAGCAGGCTCTTCTGAGGCCCCTTTCTTCATATGTGCTCTGCCCCTTGATTCCGCCGCATCCTCTAAAACTCCTGACTTCTTCTGGCAGGATGAACTGTAACATCCTCTTGAGTCCAGACTTCGCTATGTCAGCTCTCAGCCCTTCGAATCATTATGTGTCTATCCAATTGTTTCTCGGGATTCACAATCCCCAGGGTCCGTGGCAGTGAACCTGGGTCCCACAAAGCCACAGGATGAAGATGCTTCAACTTCCTGGACTAGCCATTTGATGAGAAGATTTGGGGGAAATCTTTCTTAAGACAAACAGGACATGGCTTAGGAGAATCCATGTTCCCTGGAAGGGTAAAGAGGTGTTTTGCCTTTGCAGAGGGCACTTTGTGCTGTTCCCACTTTCCCCGTCTTCTGCCTTTAGGGCTCTTTACTCTCAGTCAGCAGCCATTTCTGTCTCTGACATGCGATTCCCTGTGCTGCTTTGCAAATAGCCAGGCGAACAAACTCATGAGTTTTCTTCCTTTGGAAAGCAGAATTGGATTTTTTTTTAAACTAGATAATTCACTCACCCTTATTTACCTAAAGGATGTACAGAACAGCTGTAAGAGGTGTATATTATAATTCTGTTTGGAAGTGAGAGCAGTGTGTGTGACACTTAGCATTAGGTGAGATCTGTAACAAGAAAGTGCAACTATCACAGACCAGAATGCCTACACCCACAGAGCTGGAGATGGCACAGCTCATCGGTGCTGTCAGCTGAGCTCTGTGCCATCACCTGGCTGTGTCACGGCCCTTGATGGCCAGCTTTCCAGTCGTCATTGGCTACAGTGGTTTTGCACTGGTGGTGTATAAAGGTTACGGAGCAAAAAGAGGGAGATTTTTTTTTTTTTCCCTTCAGAAAATGTATTCCTGGATTCCTGATATTTGTTCTCTTATCTCAGTTCCCCACTCCTTACCTCAAAGCCCAGCAATGAGTGAGATGCTTTAGTGGTATAATGGGACAGACTGGATTGGGGAGAAATTTAGTGTATAGATAGTTACACACACTTAGAATGGTAGATAGATACCCCCTCCCTCCCTTTCTCATTCAGTAATCTTTGAACAATGCCAATAAACAGTGCCATTGTAGCCAGGGACAGCTGGAAACCTGGCCCTTGGGGCTGAACACACACACACACACACACACACACACACACAGTTACAAATACTACATAGTACACATGTATTTCATTCAGAAAATACTGAATGTGCCAACCTTGTGCTTGGCATGGGAATCTGACACTGATCCATTCCGACCCTACCCCTGACGTCATGAGGGTCACATATAGTCGCAGAAACAGAGGATAAGCACACCATACACACATAGTGAGTTCCATTGTAGTAAACATCGTGATGAACCTTCGTAGAGAAGCTGGAGAGAGGGGAGCCAGGCACGGATGGCCCATCCTCCCAGGGGACATCTCTGGTGAGAAGTCTGAGAAACTGTCTCTAATGTGAGACAACTTGCAGTTTGCCTCTAGGTTTGCCCAGTGGCAGGTGAGAGTATGTGCAGAAGGGAAGGTAAAGAGGGAGATGAGAGAATAGGGTTCACATCTTCCTTAAAAACATGGTCCTGAGATCCCTGGGAGATTGATTTTGGGAAAAACTAGGTGTTTAAAGCAGAGGTAAGTGCCTAAGGGAGGGGAAAGCTGGCCTGCAGTAGAGAGGGAGAAGATGGAAAGGATGGGCCTCAGTCCGGGCCAGTAAAGTCTGGAAATCGTAGGACACAAGGTGCTGGTGGCGGGTGGTGATTTTGGAAGCTGCCAGGAGAATGGTTTAATTATGAAGCCAAGCAGGGTGGACCTGGAGCTGGGTGAGTTCTGCTGAAGGACTCACATGGTCTTGGCCAAGAGGGTGGAGAGTACAAGGAAAGGGGCATGAATTGCTGCATGCCCCGGGCTCGAGCCTGCAGAAGGGCCAGTGGACAGGCCAGAGTGTGATGCCAGCCACACCTGGAAGAATCAGTCGCTTCATGCTTGATGCATGAGCCAGCACAGTGAGGTAAGGCTGCACATGGGGCCCATCTCCACAGCAGCTGTGGGAGCCTCACCGGGCCCTCCCATGGTGGGGAGGCTCGGCTCTCACCAATGCAGTGTGCGACCCGCTGCAGAGAGAGCACGAGGAAGCCTGGAATCCAGGTCCCTCTCCGATGGCAGATGTCGCAGGAGGGAAGCAACGGTGATGGGGAAAGTTGCCTGTTCCTTGGGGTTTGCGTTTTTCTCAGGATTAGAAATGCCAAGCTTCTCGTCACATAGCTGTTGGCCATCTGTATGTCCTCTTTGGAGAAATGTTGGTTCAGATCTACCCAATTTTTTTTTTGCTGTTGAGTTACATGAGCTCTTTATACATTTGGGATATTTGCAAATATTTTCTCCCATTCTCTAGGTTGCCTTTTCCTTTTGTGGATGGTTTCTTTGCTGTGCAGAACGCTTAGAATTTTATACATGACACCGTTTTGTCCTTCCAGTGTCTGTGGCAGGTTACTTATCTCCACTTAGAGATGGAGATCCAGAAACAGAAGACCTGAGACGCTCGGGGATTTCCCCAAGAACTCCCTAGGTCCAGCCGGACCCTCAATTCTAACCAATGTCTGATCGGTTCCTACTTCAGTACCTTTAATCGTAGGCCAACCCACTAAAACATGACCTCGTTATATCTTTAGGTCATCACTGAGTGGTCTTGTCACGTCATCCTTTAGGCAGCACCAGGAGTCCCTGGCAGCCGAGAGAGAGAGGCGGCGGCAGGAGAGAGAAGAAAGGTTGCAGAGAATAGAACGGGAAGAAAGGAACAAGTTCAGGTAAGAGGATTTTCCGATTTCTAAGATAATGAGTTGCTCAGTTTTCAGCCATGTCACCTGTTCTCCCATCCTCACCTTCAGTCACTCCTCTGCCCTGGGCTTCATGCTGTGCAGCACTTTATGGAATGCAAAACACGTGGAGTCTATCCTTACACATCTCATTCCGTCCATTCTTCCTTTCCTCCCTCCTTTCGCTCCTTCCTCCTTGCCTTCTTCTTCTCTCTCCCTTCATCTTCCGGTTACCTCTCCTATAGCTTCTGTATTCTTTCTTCTTTTCATTTCTCTCCCCATCTCCATTTCCTGTTGCATCCGTTCAGTTTCTTTGGCAAACAATCTTCCCATCAATTCCTCCCAGTTAAACCTACAAAGAATATAATGCATTGTCAGTGAGGATTTCCAGGTTCAAGAACTTTTTTTTTTGTCAGCAGCCAGGAAGAGTATGTGTAATTGTAGAAGTGATCAGAGCTGTGAGGTTGCCATAACTGTCACTCACTACTATGTGAAAACAAATACCCCAAGTCTGCGTTGAAATGCTGATCCTGGCTGTGGTAAGACTGGGTTAATGGGCTGCATGGAGTAAGCCAACATCAGTCCCCCCACGATCGAGTGGCATGCCCCATGCTGTCAGGTGATACATGGAAACAGACCTAAATGCACCACTTCTCACGATGTAGCTCTGGGAGGTGTCACTTTTGGAAAGAACAATTTGTAAAAAACAACTTGAACAAGTTAAAGGCTTCCTGTGTGAGGGCTTTCTGGGAGATTTGCATAAATAGCAGCAGAGAATCTTGCTAAAACACCTGGAAAATGCAGAGATTAGCTTACCCATCTAAAGATTTTGATTGAAAACCTCTGAAAACAGGTCCAGGGTCCTGTTTCTTCTGCCCCTCCAGTCTCTTCTGCATTACTGTGTGCACCAAAGCTGTGGACGGTGTGCAGAGCTCCAAACACTCCCAGTGTGTAGAGAGCAGGAGGTTTGGCAGAGGAGACTAGCATTCAATGTCCCACCGGCGAGTTTACCGTTTTCCCTCCACTATCACCTGGCTCATACTCAGACTCCCCGAAACCCAGAGGCACATACCAAGTGTGCATTGACAGTTCTGGGAGGAGGCCTCTCTTTCTGGGCTAAAGGGCAGTGAGAGGAATTCCTAAGGGTCAGAGAGTGGAGAAAATCTGTTTTATTATATTTTTTCCTTCTCTCCTACCCTAGGGTCCAAGCTTTGTTGTTTTAGAAGCCCCTGGATAGCAGCAGTGTCCAGGCAGGGCCTAAAACTCTGACCAGAAGAGCTATGACCCTAAGAGCACCCGGCACATCACCGTTGTAATATCCGGGTCCTGCTGCATTGCTGGGTGCGGATGGAGTCTCTGAAAGTGTGCAGCAGAGCAGGGAAAAGAAAGCCCAAGCTTTCTGGCTGGAGGACCAGGACGGGAACCAGCCCAAGGAATCCAGGAAATGATAGGAAAGAGTAGAGAGATTAAGAGAGGACTGATTTGTGCAGGGGTGGCTCAGAACCTAAACTGCAAGCCGCAGACTGAGAACTAAGTGCTGAGGAACCACCACTCAGGTCTCAGACTGGCCACTGGGGGGGGGGGGGGGGGGGGGGTTACACGTGGGGCTTGATTTCAATAGCACTAAAATATTTTTAAATTGAGCTAATATTGGAACTAATATGGAAAGACAGCACTTATCGGCTGAACCTAACTTCATCGTTTGCCTTCTAAAGGAAAACAAAAGGAAACAAACAAGGTTTTTCATAGAATGTAAATAAGACCCAGAATCTCTGCAAAATATTTAAAAATATGCAGAATGCAATCCAAAATAACTTGTCATACAAAGAGCCAGGGCAAGTCTTAACTCAGAAGGAAAAGAAAACCAAAATATGCTAACCACAAAAGGACGCTGTCTTTATCAGACAAAGACTTTAAAGCGTTTATTACAAACAGGCTCTAAGAAGTAAGGGCAAATAATTTTAAAACAAATGAAAAGTGAAGTCTCTGCAAAGAAATAGGAGATATAAAGAAGAACTAAGTAGAACTGAAAAATACAACTACCAAATTGAAAAATTCATTGCTTGGGCTTGATAGCTGAATGGAAATGAGGGGGAAAAGCCAAAGACTTTTAGACAGAACAGTAGAAATAATCTAATCTAAGAATCAAAACATTGGGGGGGAAAAATGAGCAGTTCCTCATGGACCCATAGAATAATTCCTAAACGTCTAGCATTCATGATGTTGGAGTTCTAGAAGAGTACATAGTGCATTGCAATACCTTAGTCATTATGTTACAATATACATAATATATATGATATGTACCAAAAAATACATATCACAACCAGAATCTCTCTGTGCTCTTAAGTAACAAATGACATCCATTTGGTAACAAGAGCAAAGAGTCAACAGCTATGAGCATGGTCTCTGAAAATGGATTGTCTGGATCTAATCCTCATCAATAGATATAGATAGATGATAGGTAGATATAGATAGGTATAGATAATAGATATAGATATAGATATAGATAGAAAATATCAAATAAACCTTGTCCAGGAAGGTATGCTGATTATCAGGACAGACCGCACACAACTCTTAATTATAATGATGACAGTTTCTTCCTAAGTCTGAGGATATGAGTGAAAAGAAATTCAAAAGAGGAAACAGGAAGAGCTTTATAAAGTAGTCCTGGGAACACGGAAATGGCTGACCTTTCACCACTCATTACATTGATTTAAGTTGTTCATGCTCCTGGGCCTTTTCCCTGGCATTCCATCTAAAGGTTGTTTCTTATCTGCTGCTATTTTTGTTGAATATGATCTTAAACCTCTTGGGTTATGGAAGAATTTCTTTCTAGTATGAAAAGCGATGAGGATGGTTGTTTATAAATGATAACAAATTTGAGCCTCTTTTTTTTTTCCCCCCCTCCTAACCTGTTTCAGTTGCTCTGACTTACTACTCCTTTATATCCAGCTGCCAGGGCATCGAGGGGTAGAATGCTCAGACTACCTTAGGTCCAGTGTAGGAAACCATAATGTCAGAATTCTCCAGGAAAATACATCAGTCTTAAGCTTCACGTTGGGACTTCACCAGCAGGAACAGAAAAACAAACATTAAAATTGGACAAAATTGGGCATCTCGGGGGGTACAGGCTAAAGAGATTGCATGAGTGAGAGCTTCCAGGGATCTCTGCAGAGAGCCAGAATGTGAGGGGTGCAGAGAGAGATCCTGGGCTGTGGGAGCAACATCCAAAACGGGGAGTACAGCAATCTGAGCCGCTCAGATTTAATTCTTGAGGTGCAAGTTGTGGTGCTCCCAGAGCTGGATTGAATGTGCTTCACCTCTGAAAGCTATGGCTTGCTTGTCATAGCTATACTTTCTTTTTTTTTAATGTATTATTTCACCTTTAAAAAATATTTCGCTTCTCCCTTCCCCCCATAGGCATGCATTCTTCTTTCCAAAGAGTAATTGGTCATGTCCATGAGTGAATCCAACAACCCCATGATTTCGGACTCCCTGTGATTTTATAGAAGATCCACTCTATTTCGTACTTTTAAAGCACAGTCTTTACCCTTGATTTTTAAAAATTCAGCTACAGCCACGTTCCACTTCTGAGGCAATAGTGGACTTTCATTACATACTGTTAGTAATTTCTTAGCAATCTTATGAGCACATAATTCTGTTCTTTTTCTTCCCTATTTTGTTTCTTCCATCTATTTTTAGTAGCCGAGAGTATTTAAACAAAAAAGAGGAGCAGAGACAAGCAAGAGAAGAAAGGTTTGTATCTCTCTTCCTCCCCACGTAAGCAAACCGCATGTGACTTGGCACTCCTAACCCAGCATGCCGTGGAGACTGTGTGGATTAAACTATCACAGCTTTCCCTAAGAGACCTGGGGCCTTTGGTAACTGGTATTTTGCAGAATAAGTGTCAGGTTATCTACATTTTCCAAGGAAGCACAGGTTTCTGATTTGGTGCCATCATGGTGTGAAATACAGACAGTCCTTGGGTAACGATGGACTCGACATACGTCATTTCATGGTTACGTTGCCATTCTCCCATTTATTTATATATATATATATATATATATAAAAGTTCCACCATTTCAACATATGTACATATGTGCTTTATGTTGTTTATTATCTATTTACCACAAGGAAAGGTCAGCAATTGTTATCTTTAAATTTTTTTTTTTTTACTGTGTCACTTCCTTACTGCTGTGTATGTGCTCCATGTGAGTGACATAGTGCTTATGTAGGTGGGTTCCGACTTCCTGTGAAAATCCCATTAAGTCGCGCCGTAGAAATGGATCTCTGACGTAACCCGAGGACCTACTGTATATGTCTGCTCCAAAATTCTTCTCCAAGTGAGCACATTGATTCGTATATTGACCTATGGAATATATTTCCCCTATCCTGTGCCACCACTGCTGAGCCTGCATGCGGTGTCTCTGCTGCATGCTTCCAGGTCATGTGCTCAGCAAATATTGGACCATACATGCTATGCACTGGCTGGGGGGGGGGGGGGGGAGCACACCCACCTGAGACTCTCACCAAATGTGCCTGTTACTTCCCTGTCTCAGTTTCTGGCCCTCAGCTCTCTGGTGGCAGGAACCATGCCTGGTTTCCCTGGGTTGTCCCAGTGCCTGCCACCATCCTTGGCACATATTCGACACTCTGGAAAGATGCATAGAATAAATCCAGTGAACAAACAGCTTTCTTTCAATTATCTAAGCTGTAAACCAGTTTTTAAAATTTCAGTGGCAACATGCTTTTAACCCCACTAAAAGACACAAAGTTGATTCATTTAGATGAGGATGTTTTGGGAGGTAGAACAATGAAAAGACCAATTTTCACCCTGTAGCCCTGCAGTTATTCCATCCACCACCAGGTGGGGTTCCTGCACGGAGAGATGGAAATGCTCGTTTCATACCAGAACCAACTGGGAACCTAACAATATCTGAACTTTGCCAATAAAAAGTGGAATCGTGCTCATTTTTTTTTTCTTCTTAAGACGCCATCAGCTAAATAGATCAGGACAGACTGGGGCATAGAGGAGTGGAGTCTGTCTATGTTCAATTTAAAAATTAGATGCTTAGGTCAGCATCATGAATAAAACATTTCGATTATTGCCATCCTCATCACCAGTTGTGGACAGCAAATGTAGAGTGAAAGATGGTGGTAAAGAAACAAACTTCCCTTTCTCTAATTTGTGCCATTTCTTAAAAAATATATGTGTTTTCATTGACTTCAGAGAGTAAGGGAAAGAGAGAGTTAGAAACATCAGAGAGAGATATAGAATCATTGATTGGCTATCTTCTGCACGCCCCACAATGTGGATTGAGCACACATATGCCCTGACCAGGAATCGAACTGTGACTTCCTGGTCTATAGCTCAATGCTCAAGCACTGAGCTGCGCTGGCCAGGCCGTACCATATATTTTTTTTTTTTTACGTTGATGGACATGATCTATACTTTTTACTGGAAATGCTGTTGCTTTGTGCCAAAGCTTAAGAAATTCAATTTTATCTTGCTTTTTTTTTTAGCATTCCCTCCAGATGTTGCGCTTTTTCGAGCTTTTGGCCACAGGGCTGTCAGGCTCGATCGGCACAGGCACTTGGGGAGATGTCAGGTCTGACTGGCTCAGGCTGACCTCAGAATTTCCCAAACCACCAAAGGCTACCTGCTCCCAGATATTGTTTACTGTTCTTTCCCCAAAGCAGAACATCGCTTACCCCTGGAGAAGGTGTGCAGAGGAGTTTGCCCCGCTCTCACTCTGGTGCATTCTGGCCTTTCTCACTCACCTGTCCGGGCCTCTTAGCTGGCAGCAGCGGGCTCTCTCTGGCCCCGTGGGAGGGTCTCTCCTTACAGCCCGCCTCTCTGTGTTCAAGGAGGTTTGGGGAAGCCTCGGAACCTTTCCCTCTGGTTTGGACCCCCACTTTGGGGAGCCTGCCTCTTGACTTAGCTGCTGAGGATGGGGTGAGGGAGCTGAGCTTTCATCCCTATTTGGAAAGCTGCCGGGGGGAAAGATAAGACTTGCAAGTGTAACGGACTTCAGAGACAGGTGGGGATGTTGGTGGAGGCGAGGGATGGACAGAGGTTCAGAAATAAGGACAAAGACTCGGTCTGTTAACTCTTCCTGGGAACCGCGCATGTGTGTGGGGTCTGTGTTCCTTACTTTCTCAGACGCTTTTCACTTCGTAAAACTGAAACTTTCCACCCGTTCAAGTCCCCCTGTCCCCTTCCCTGTCGTTCTGGTCTGCCACATACACACCCTTGGGACGATTCAGATCACACCTGTGACTCTTCCCGTGGCTTCTGGATCCCAAGGATGGCCCCATAGACAGGAATAGCCTTTGAGTCCTATATGCCCAGCCTCTGGGTGTGGAACCCCTGGGGTCTCCCAGGAAGCAGGCTAGCACTTTGGCTGCTAGCACATGCCTGCCAGCCTGGGTGCCCGCGGGCGGGGTTTGGAGAGGCCAGGACCAGGCCGGACCCAGTGAAGTGTGAAGGTCAGAAATGAGCCATCCTCCTGGCTCTGTTACCGTCTTCTCTGCCCTCTTCTGATCTGGATGAGCACAACTTTCCTGCTCCTGGTCTCCAGTCTCTCGGGCCATGCAGGTCCCCTAACGCACAGGTCATTCCTTGCCTGCCCCTTTCTCCTGTCGCAGGCTCTGACTCAACGCGGGATGTCTGGGCTCACAGACTCCTCGGCTGCAGCCTCCCTGGCCTTGCATTTGCCGCTTTCTCATTAAAATATGCCTCCTAAGGGCTCTGACCCTCAAGACCACTCTCTTCCAAGAGTCCCATCCCCTCCAGCCCAGTGGCTTTCCCTTGCCAGTCAGAATTAAGTGCAGAAATACTTTTCTTTTGTCTCCTTGCCTGCCTTTGGAGAGGTGACCTCGTTGGCAAGGAAAGTCCAGAGTTTCCAGAGCTTTCTCTCTGGGCCCAGCGTCTCCACCCTTCACGTTGAGGCCGCTGCTCTGAGCCAACCTCAGGCCTTTGTGTATATGCAGACCCACCACCCCTTCCGTCAACGATTCCTGTGCAAGTCACTGCCTCTCCACGAAGTGAAGTGGGTGCGTCCCCCCCGCCCCATTGCACCCCGTGCTGCAGCGACCCCTGCAGGTGGAGTGCTGCCCTGCACAGTTCCCTGCGCACTTAGCTCACTTCCGGTCAGCGGACAAGTGCAAGGCAGGAGGGAAAGAACAAAGGAGGGTAATCTTCTCTGCCACACAGGGGCACCCTCCCATTTCTCAAAAATCCTATTATCTGCTTGTTGAAAACAGCCATATGCATGTGAAAAGACGACCAAGTATGCCAGGCAGTAAATGTAAAATGCCATCTGTGCTGAATGGGCTACATATCCGACATGAGTTCCGATGCAAGGCCCGATCGCTTCCAGCTGTGGTGGCCAAGGCAGCCTGATGGGAGGCGTGCGTGTGAGGCTGGCCCGGGGCTGGCTGCCGCGGGAGGAGGCGATGATGACAGATGGGAGCCACGCCCACCTTAAGAATGAATGAAGAAGTGCATGCTTCCTAAATGCATTTTTCACAGTGGCTCCTATAGGTGCCCCGCCTTTCTCCTCCCGGTGAAATGGGACTGGCGATGGTGGGCCAGAGCTGGGCTCTTGCCCGTTGCAGGGGTGGAAGGGGGGAGGGAGGGGACTGAAGCAATCAATACATCTGGGTGGATGGGAGGGAGAGTCCTGAATAAGCCATTTCCAAGTCTCGTAGTGGGTACGATAGTCAGGACCCGGCTACAGCTGGATCCATAAATTTATTCCTGAACAAATAACGGTGGGTAAAATTAGCAGACATCTGGAAGAGGCACATATTTCAAAGTTATTTTGGTCTGATCTATAAAGCGCACCATGCGGAATATGATTGGTAGCTGGTCTTAATAAACAGTTAGTGGGTTCTGCCTGCCTGAAATGCAAAACAGATGTATCTTTGTTCTTTTTCAACTGACTTTGATGAATAAACTATATGTGACGTCAGGTCCAAGCTATTGGATGTCTGAGTCCGACTCAGAAATATTTTAGAATGTAAAAAAAAAGTTTCCATGGTCGACACCGGGAGAACAAAGTGAATTCCAGTCGCATTGCTGGGAGCATTGAAGCAGGTTCAGACATTCGGGGAGGCCTGGGTCCAACACCCCCTTTCGGTACTTGGGGGGCACCGTTTCTCTCTGCCACACAGGGGCACCCTCCCATTTCACAGCTGTGAGCTCTGAGGGCGTGTGGTTTTCAGCTGTCACTGTGGGGCCTTTCTGACGGTCATTGCTGTTGTTTTGCTTATTTGTACAAATGTTTCCTAGAAGAGCAAGCTAGGATTCTATAGCCGCAAGCCGGCGTCTGGGGCCTGTGTGATGTGCCCCCCCCCCCTGCTCTTCCCATGTCGCCGGCTGTTTGGTTGTGCCTGGTGCGGGATGTTTAATCACTAGCGTCTTGGCTCTGCTGGGCGTTCCTGGCAAGCGGGCCCTCCAGCCAGCCCCGCGCTGAGCTCGGCATCAGGAAACCAGCTCGCTCTCTCTGCAGGTGTTTCGTCCATAAACAAGCACCGGCCAGGAGCTCCTCTTTCTTTTTTTACAGAAACCCTTTGGAATTTCGCTTTCAGATACAAATACTTGGAGCAGTTGGCAGCCGAGGCGCACGAGAAGGAGCTCAGAAGCCGGAGTGGGAGCCGGGGCAGAGCTGACCTCTCCTTGGACCTGACCTCATCGGCAGTCCCGGCCACCCCCGCCCTTCTGAGTCCGGAACCTTCCTCTCTAGACTCACAGGAGGCTCTCCCGGGAGCACCGTCCTGCCCGGGAACACCTCAGCATCCCCAAGGTGAGTGCTGGGAGAGGGGAGGGTTCGTCAACCCCAGGGAAGCTTTTTCTGGGCAGTGGTACCCATTCCTACGTTCAAAGGAGCACCGACAGGCAGCTAAGGGTAGGCCGAGGGGGGACGGCAGCCTGGGCTGCCACAGGTGCAAGAGGGCGTTCAGACCACGTCCATGAGAGCGAGAGCTACGTTATTGCAAACAGGGTCCGCGTATGGTCATTGGAAAAAACAAAATTTCAAAGATAAGACTGACTTTGACATCTCATTCTAAATCCCAGGGTTTTAACATAGCCCTCTATCATTTGAATGCTATTTCTTCATTGGATCTGCCCCATCAAGTGGCCACTTTGAACTGTTCTCACCCGAGGGACTGTCGGTCTGGTTTAAATTAAACTGATGGAGAATAAAATTAAGCAGCGCAGGCAGAGAAGAATGTGGACCTCGTGAACACAGGCATTCAGTGTCAAAGGAGAAAATAAAAAGGAAAATAGTGAAGGTGACTGGCAGGTGGCACGGGTGGAGGTGCGTGGGTGCAGACAGGCAGGCTGGCCCTGGAACAGTTCCTTGTCGCCTCCGCTTCATTTTGGGGGAAACAAGGACATCGTGCACTGCAGCCTTGGAGCATCCGCTGCTCTCCTGGCTGCTCCGCACCTTGTGGGTCCGTTTCCTTTCCCTTCAGCGGAGGGGGTGGCTCTGGGCACAGGTGCCTCCAGCGTGCTGGCCTCCAGTTCACCCTGCAGCCAGCCCTGGTGGGCTTACCGAGTGTTAGGGCTTGCAGCCTGACCCAGACGGAGCCAGAGGAGACAACAGAGACAAGCCGCTCTTCACTCTAGGAGGGTTGCCTAAATATGGCGTCAAGTTTAATTTAAACAAGGCAGGGCTGCGTGACCTCAGCAGAACTGGCTGTAACGGAACAGAACTGTCTGTGCAATTCTCCGCTGGCTCTCCTGGCCCCCGGCTGCTCTGCAGGCAGGCTGGCTGCACCAGGGCTTTGCATCTCAGCCAGTCCTCCTGGTCTGTGAGCCGCGGAAACCGTCCCAGGCAGATGGCTCAGTCATGGATGAGTAATGTCGGTCTGAAAATGTTGAGACTCTGAGAATCGGGAAAAATGATTGTTTTCTGACAACTCTGTGCTTCCCAAACCCTGCCTGATAGCGCTGCTCTGACTGAGCTGGCGATAGGAAAGGCATTTCCCTGCAGAGGGGTTCTGCACTTGATCTTGGCACTTCTCATGCTAGTTGTTGTACCTCCAGAAGTTTACAGAATGGCTGTCAAAGCTGTGAAATACAGAGAGGCCCCATGCTGAGGGAATTGTCAGTATCTCTAATTAGTCTTTGTCCTAAAAAATTTTAATCTAGTTGATATCTGGGGGGGGGGGGGGGGAGAGAGAGAGAGAGAGAGAGAGAGAGAGAGAGTTTCCTTACCTATTTTGTCCAGTTATAGAGTCAAATTGGAGGCTGTTCTAGCCAATGAAAAAGAACATTTTAAACTTCAATAAGGACACAGAAAATACTGCTTTGAGTACATACCATATGCATTTGGAGAACATAAAGTTATTTCAGTATGCTTTCAGAAAGATAAAAAGCAAATGCCAGCCCAGCCAGTCTGGCTGAGTGGTTGAGAATCAACCTATGAACCAGGAGGGTTCATGCCCAGGTTTTGGGCTCAATCCCTAGTAGGGAATGTGTAAAGGGTAGCTGATAAGTGATTCTCTCTCATCATTGCTCATGTTTCTCTCTCTCTCTCTCTCTCTCTCTCTCTCTCTCTCTCTCTCAAAGCAATATTTTTTTAAGTAAATGTCATTTTCCTCTACAAAGAAGAAATTAATAGAGACTGAGCAAATGTTTGACTGAAATCATACAGTAAGTGACCTCTTTCTCTGAAAAAGGAATAGGAACTTGAATTTAGACATAATTACAGATTGGTACCATACCATTGGGTGATGTTTGCTTTTGTCTGAGAAAGAAAGCAGTGGTTCTTATGCAATCAAAAAGAGCTGTCCGTGCCATGTTAAGTAATTTTCATCCAAGCCAGTCGGGACCAGTAGAGTAGTCTAACATTCTTGTCCTGATACCTAAGTGAGTCCTTCCATTGGGAATGATAAGTGTGTGAGGAGAAAGCTGCTAGAGAATGGTTTCTGAAAGAACTGCTGAGGGTGTCTTCTGACCTGAGGGCCTTCGACCTTAGGACAGTCATGCGAAGTTGGTATTATAGAAAGGGTTCCCTCAGCCCCATTTGTTACTGTTCTTTGAAACATCCTAGCATCCTATTCTTTTTACCAGGTTCCATTTTCTTTTCTTGTTTTCTTTCCCTTTGGTTAATTCTCACCCAGGGATATTTTTTCCATTGATTTTTATAGAGTTGAAGGGCTAAATGGAGGAGAGGAAGTGAGAGAAAGAGAGAGAGAGAGAGAGAGAGAGAGAGAGCGAGCGCGAGAGATGTGTGAGAGAGAGATGTGAGAGAGGTGAGAGAGATACCCTCCCTCCAATATGAGCCCTGACCAGGGCTGGAGATCAAACCTCCTTGACTGAGAATCAAACCTGTGACCCTTTGGTGTGCTGGCTGACAGTCTATCCACTGAGTCACAGCGGCCAGGGCCCAGTTCCCATTGTCAAATGATCAAAGTAATTTTTTGCTTATCCCTAACATTTACGATATCCCAGTATCTGGAGGAAGAATAAAAAAATATAATCACACATCCAGATGTTTGTCCTGCACCAAACACCTGGCATGATGTGGTCCGAATGTGCCAGGGGTTGACTCGCTTTTTCATTCTTTCACCTTGTGGAATTGTGTGATAATTCTGCCATGCTTCGTCCCTTCCTCCCCAATACTGCTAGTTATTGTCTGAGTAAGTAATGGGGAGGCTAGTATCCATCCCTTACCAAGTCTCAAAAAGGTGCTGGCACCCTGCTTGGAGCACAGCTATTGTTTTGGTGCCCGGCCCAGCCATTTCTCGGGGCATCGTGGCATCACAGTATTTGTGGTGGTACAATATCATGGCCTACATTTCAGAATTCTATTTACAAAAAGATGTATATTTGTTATCGAATTCTGTGTACCTCTGGATTAAAAGTCACTTCTTGGGTCTTTCATTAAAACCCTTTACTCAGATACTGGACCGCTTTTAATAGCAAAAGATATGAAAATACCAAAAGCTTCTTTACCTTTTCTCTTACAAAATGTGTTTTTAAAGAGGGAAGGGCTAATGCTAAAACACCCGTGGCATTGTGAGCCATCTAGTGAGATCTTTCAGCCCCAAACCTTCCCAGCTGAATCGCTGTAACTTGGATGAATTGTGCCACTACCCCCACCCTCAGGTCAGTGTGCGCTTGAATTGTTTTTCCATCTGGCCCTCTGTGGCTCATGGCGGATGTTTGTCCCAATACTGCTAGAATTTAGTGGTGCTGGCCTGAATATTTTTCCTCTGTGTGAAGCTATCAGGCCCAAGTGAGGAAGAAACACATACATGTGTTCTCATTTGCATTGTGCTCTAATGGACAGAGACCATCAGCCCCAAATTTAGGTAAACACAGAAGAGCCTATCTCTTCACCCATTACTGTAATTCTATTTTCTCTGAGCTCTGGTGGTATATATATCAGAATATCTATCTAATAAGTTTATTTTCTATTATTTCAAAAAACTCACAGATGACTCTAGGAACAAGTAAAGTATTCTCATAAACCAGAGAAAAAAAAGATGCAGCATTCTTATTGGGATAGCGTTCTTTGATATGACTCTTGAAGGAAGTTACACTGAGGATTAAAACTAATCTGTGTATCCACAAGTGAAATCAACATAGCAAGGTAACCTTTTATCCCCATAAGATAGGATCTAGGTATCCTATCTTATGGGGATAGTGAAGAAAACCACTCATCTCAAAACCAGGCATTGATGGTGGTCTCTGCATGGTGTCCCAGGGTTGAACTTCCTCCTTGGAAATTAGAACTGGGTTCTTTCCTTGCTCCTTGGCTCACACACCCGAGTCCCTCCTGAATCTAGATGGAGACAGATGGCCTTCCCTGGTAAAAGGAAGCTGCCATCAAGTGTTCATAAGTATCTTTCACCTACTGGTGACACCATGAAAGCATGTATAATGGCTGGGTTATTTTCCTTAGTTTTAGTTTAGTGCTCTACAGGGTGGGGCAAAGTAGGATTACAGTTGGAGTATTGGAAACACAGTTTATTCTTGCATTGTTATTATTAATTATTGTATTATTTTCCTCTTGAAAATAATAAACTGCAAACCTACTTTGCCCCACTCATATATTGCACACAGAAATAATACTTTGGAGATGCATTTGAAAATTTTACCATACTATATTAATTTTTTTATCTGTATTGTTAAGAGTATTACAGATGTCCCCCATTTTTTCCCCTGCTGCCCCCCTCCACTTGGTTCCTGCCCCACCCTGGGCCTTCACCACACTACTGTCTATGTCCATGGATTATGCAAATATGCATGTAAGTTCTTTGGTTACTAGTAATCACTCCCTACCCCTCCACCACCACTCCCGCTTCCCTCTGAGATCCATCGGGGAAAAATATATTCAACACTAGTTTCTACCTACCATTGGATTTCTAGATATTTCCAAATATCTCATTGTTTGGCCATTGGAGATATATACTATGCTGTATATGGCCATGCCCTACTCACCAGCATTCACCTGGAGGCATTCATGGAAATTGTTGACATGGTATGCTGATATTTTCTCTTAGATACTCTAGTGTTGAAAGTACTGGTCAATAGGACAATGCCTCTAACTTCCTGATCTTCACATCCATAAATAAAATATAGACATATACCTATACATAAAATGTTCAATTTGTTTAAATAATAATCATTTTTCATGTAGGTATCATTCATCATCATGTTACCAGTCATTGAGCATCTTGGTCACTTTTGTTGTGTGACATGTTTTGAATCTCCTTCAGGCATAGACGCTATGATAAGTTACCTAATCCACATGGCAGATATCAGACATCTGATATCTTATTTCCAGTT